CAAGGGTGTGTGTCATTGCAAGGATGTGTATCATTGCAAGGATGTTTGGCTCATTGCAAGGGTGTGTGTCATTGCAAGGATGTGTATCATTGCAAGGATATTTGGCTCATTGCAAGGGTGTGTGTCATTGCAAGGGTGTGTGTCATTGCAAGGATGTTTGGCTCATTGCAAGAGCATCTGACCATGGCTTAAAACAAATCCCTTCGCCCACGCGCAAGGAAAATAAACTCCGGATGTGGCCGATCGCGACTTCTGTGCCCCGCTGTTTGGCCAGTCCACCATTGCGTATTGTTATGGCGTCATGGACTGGGTGTCAGGGACCTTTGATGTTGTCGTCTGCCCCTTGTTGAAGTCGAAATGTAGCAAGCAACTTGACTCAGGATTTAATATTGCCTGTCTGCGGTATCCCAGCAGACATGGGCTGGGAGGGGAGGGGAGGGGGAGGGGGACGGTCAACACTAGAATGAAATTGCTGAAAATGATATTTGTGAACAGTTTCTTTGCTTTATTAAAATATACTGGAGCAGTGGTTCTCACCTGATTTCATAACCTTTCCCGCATGCTTATTTCAAATTGAATTCATACCCCCCCTCCTAAAACATACACACACACTCACACGCACAGTCACACATACTAACACACACGCACGATAAAACTGATAATAAAAATGCAAATAAACATGATTTTCGAGGGCTTCCCGCACCCTTTCAAACACGATCCCCATGCGCAACCATAGTTTAAGAATCTCTGAACTATAGAATATCTTAAAATATATATTCATTGACAGATTGTTAGACCACCTCTGTTGTTGTTGTTTTGTTTTTTTTACTTGACTTTACTTGCAATCATTGTGTTCACTAATGTTTTATAGGAACAATAATTCTCATGAACAAAGAAAATTAAACCTGTTGTAAGCTTACTCATTTCCTTGCGTTTGCGAATTATTTTTATATTTATTTATACATAGGAAGATATAAAATAATGTAACAAAATTTAACATAATATAACGGACTATAAATACAAACAAATAAAACCTATGACCGAGAAAAACGATGTCATAAAACGATGTACTGATTACTGTTCAGAGCTTTATAATGAAAGTATAAAGATGGACCCAGAGATCCTTAATGTTCCTCCAGCAACAGACCATGATAACTACTCTAATCTCCGCGCAGAAGTAGAAGCAGCAGTCCAGGCGCTCCAAACAGGAAAGGCCGCAGGAGTGGATAATATCCCTGCCGAGTTGGTGAAAAAAAGAGGAGAAGCAATGATAAGTGCCCTATTCAATATTTGTAACAAAATATGGCTGACAGGAGAATGGCCCAAATCATGGACCCAATCGCTCATCGTCACCCTCCCCATAAAAGGTAACCTACAGCTATGCCAAAACTATTGCACAATTAGCCTAATAAGCCATCCAAGCAAGGTCATGCTGGAGGTCATATTGAACCGACTAAAACCATATGCCGACATAATCATTGCTGAAGAACAGGTGGGCTTCAGACAAGGACGGGGCACTACTGAGCAGATTCTAAACCTCCGAATACTATGTTAGAAATATACTCAACACCAACAAAATCTATACCACGTCTTTGTGGACTTCAAGAAAGCATTTGACAGGGTTTGGCATGCTGCTTTATGGGCCACCATGAGGCACAACAACATCAACACAAAGCTAACCAGCATAATATGCAACCTCTATGATAAGGCCACCAGTGCAGTCTTCCTCACCAGCAACATCGGAGAATGGTTCAAGACCACGGTTGGAGTACGACAAGGCTGCCTGCTCTCCCCCCCACCCTGTTCAAAATCTTCCTAGAGCAGTGGTTCTCAACCATCCAAATGCCGCGACCCTTTAATACAGTTCCTCATGTTGTGACGACCCCCAGCCACCAAATTAGTTTCGTTGGTACTTCATAACTGTAGACTATATATGTTTTCAGATGGTCTTTGGCGACCCCTGGGAAAAGGGTCGTGCAACCCCCAAAGGGGTCGTGACCCACAGGTTGAGAACCGCTGTCCTAGAGAAAATTATGTCAGATGCTCTGGAAGCGCATGAAGGGACAGTCGGCATTGATGGCAAAAAAGGAACCAACCTACGCTTTGCGGACGACATAGACGGACTGGCTGAGAGAGAAGAAGAGCTAGCCGACCTGGTCAAGCGTTTCGATAAGACCTAGTCGTCCCATGGCATGCCCATCAGTTCCGAAAAGACAAATTATACCACAGGCATCACCACTGAAATTAAGGTCGGGGAGGAAAGACTAGAGACTGTAGGGCGCTTCAAATACCTAGGAGCAATAGTCTCAGAAGAAGGCTCAGAACCCGAAATGATGTCCAGGATTGCGCTGACTACAGCAGCACTAAAGAAGAAGCTCAAGAAAATATGGGAGGACAAAAATATAGCCCCTGGCACCAATATGAGGCTGATGCGCTCATTAGTCCTCTCCATTTTCCTGTATGCCTGCGAATCCTGGACATTAACAGCATTTCTTGAAAGGAAAATAAAGGCGATGGAGATGAGATGCTTCAAAAGCATTTTTGGCATCTGCTATAGGGACCATATCTCCAATGATACAGTGAAAGAAAGGGTTCATCAGGCAATTGGGGAGTATGATGACCTACTGGTGACTGTGAAAAAACGAAAACTACAATGGTACTGCCAAGTAACAAGGAAACAAGGGCTTGCCAAAGAAATATTGCAGGGCACCACAAGAGGATGGAGAAGAAGAGGAAGACAAAGAAAAAGATGGGAGGATAACATCAAAGAGTGGACAGGACTAACACTGGGCGATGCTGTGCGTAGTGCTGAAGACATAGACACACAGAGGAGGATAGATCACATGTCATCTGTGGCGTCCCAACGGTCCAAGGACTAAGGGACATGACGATGATGATGATGATGATGATGATGATGAAGGAACTATAAATTGACTTTGACAGCGTTCATCAAAAATTTATATTTTCGTTTAAGAAGGTTGTGCGTTGAGAAAGTTCATCATATAACAAGGTGTTTTATATGTTATGGTCAAGAAACAGTGTAACAGAAATATATCTGAAACATAATGGCATCTCTTAATTTACTTGAGTTTTCTAATGTCTTTATGTGTGCGTCTATGTGTTAATCTGTGTGTAAATATTCTGTTTTGATAGAATCTATGTGTGTCTCTATGTGTGTTTCTATATGTGCCTCTATGTGTGTCTCTAGGTGCGTTTCTATATGTGCCTCTATGTATGCCTCTATGTGTGTCTCTACGTGGGTCTCTATGTGTGTCTCTATGTATGTGTCTATGTGTTTGTCTCTGAATGTGCATCGGCGTGTCTATGTGTGTGTCTCAAAAAAAACGAACAAACAAGACAGTAACAAACATATAAGTCAGTAACCAACACAGAAGACCGTAAAAAATCAGAAAACAATAGCAAACCGAGGAGGCAGTAACTAACATAAGAAGACAATAACAAACATAGAATTAAGTAACAAACATAGGATACAGGGACACACTTTGACGACAGTGACAAAAATAATTCTTCAAATACATGCGCTGTCGGCATGCCTGGACTAGGTGCCGCCTTGGGAGAGCTAACATAAGTGAGCCCCTACCTGATACACACACACACACACACACACTCATAGGCTCCTAACTAGGTTTGCCACTTTAAGCATTAAAAAAATACGTTTTCTATTCTGTAAGGGAGGTAATGAGCGTAAATTGAAGAAATTTTATGCAAAGGGAAGTCATCGTTGTCGCACTTGATCTTCAATAGGACACTGCTCATACATTTATACGGGAATTTCGATATTTGGTTTAATAATATAAAAATTGCGTGTTTATTATTATTATTACTTTAGATATAAACAACTGTTATGAGTTTTGTTTGCCTGAAACAGTTTATTTTGACCTTATGACGGCCATATTTAACCCTGGGCTGGTTTCTACTATTCCCGCACCCCACCAAAAAAATTCTATATCCATTAATGTAAATATAAAGTGTAACTAGGTACATTGGAACTGCTTCTCTACATTTTGGTTTGTCTACCACTTGTGACACCCATGTTAACAGTCTTCGTAATAGTATGGACGTGCCTCTCTTTTTGCCACGCTTGGCTAAATCATACACATGCCTTTCAGCGCTTTCTGACAAGAGGAGCTGAGTGGTGTGTTTGCGCACTTCACTTTTATTAATTTACTCACAGAATAACATCAAATATTAGAGCGTAAAATAATGGCTCCTCCAATACAATGGAATACTAGATAATCATAACACATCATTCGGTAGCTCAAATAATAATTTTATGGTAACAATGGGGAAAGACTGCAATCAGGTTAGCAAACAATGAAATGAATTAAACAAATAATGGGAAAATCCAAAAAAAAAGGAACGCAGCAAAACAACGAACGTGTCGGCAAGAAGCCTTCTTCGGCGAACAAACAACAGTAAAAAACAGAATTTAAAAAAATACCACTTCGCTTCAATGTCGTATAATTATCTTATCACATCAAATGTCTAAATTGTAATTTCTATAATTCCACGCTTTAAACCAGGGGTAAAGGGGTGGACCCCACGTGTCACTGTGATGACGAGTTAACACTTCGAGGGCATCATGTCCTTACTACAAAAGGCGTTGTTAAATAATTAACAAATGCACACTATTATTTGTTCATTCTAAATGCACATCATTTTAGGATCATGACCAGTGGCGTAGCTAAGGTAAGTGCTGCCCGTAGGTGGTCAAAATAGTGCCAACCCCTGCCTAACCGAAAAAAAAATCGCTGCAGTTGACCGAAAAATGTCATCCCTACGTATAAAGAAAAAAAAAAGGGGGGGGGGGGTTGGTGAAAAGAAAAGAAAAATTTTAAGCCATGCACTCATTGGGTTCGAGAGTGTGTCGTACTTACGGTAACTATGGCTACGCAGGCACGACACGAGATAGTGACGTCATTGATTCTTGGGGCTTTACGTCGTCAACATGGAGCTCTCCCTCTCTCTCTCTCTCTCTCACTTTTGACGATTCAGACTATGCCATTAGCTATGGGAGACGTGGAGTTGGAGAAGATATTTTAAATTCAAGTAGTTTTGAAAACCCGGTTATTTGTTTATTTTATTTTCAGCTACAGTAAAATATTTATAACTATTTTTATTTTTAAAAAAATTTCCGGCCTTTTCTATCTACATAATGTTTAATGATTTTGTAAATTTTAATTGATTAATTTTTGTAACAGCTTCTGAAGTAGGAACAAATACTTTGTTATATAATTTATGTGAGTCAAGAGTGTTCACATTACGAATGGCCTACTAATCAGCAATGAGTTTTAATGTTACAATGTTCACCGTTGAATGTCTTTTTTTTTTAGCATTGGGAACCAAAACAATTTTTCAAACTCCATTTCCAGATAACAAAATATTTGTAAAATGATGATGAAACCGAAGGTCTGCCTATGTGTACTTCTGATATCGATATGTTGTGTCCGAGTGTGCTCATCATTGGATGGATCGATACCGTCCTACAGAGAAGCCCAGATACGCCTGAAAGAGAAAGTCCTGTCCCACAGGGCGATCAGAGCCAGGCTGAGTCCTAGAGACGACGGACACCTCAACGTCTCAATTATATTTTATCCCATCCAGGTCAGTGAATGCTTGAGCATGACGTCATCTGGTGAAACTGTTTTAATCGACATCATTATAATAATCATGTATCGACTTGTTTACTGCCAAGCTAATTTGATTTGTCTTAACGGTTGGGATTCAACAGGGGTAATAAGGGGAGAGACTGCAATCAGGTGAGCACAATGTAGAATGAATTAAACAGAGTATGGTTAAACCTGAAAAAGGAAACGCAACAAAACAACGAACGTGTCGGCAGAAAGCCTACTTTGGGATTTAACAAAAACTGGGTCCAGGGTCGTGCGGAGAGAGGGGCTAAGCTAATTTGATGCGTCAATATGGTTGGAATCTAACAATAAGTAGTTCCTAGGTCGTGTGAAGAGGAAATGGGGGTAGGGCAATTTTTTTTTTCCGGCGCCAACTTCGTAGAGCGCAGAAATTGTTACGTTCTAAGCAAATATGTGAATTAATATATATTGGGTGGAAAGGTTCTGCTGGTGACGGTCCCGGCTTATTCACAGATACAGACAACCAATAGGATGTCTTTTATCATTCGAAAATTAGTCGACTCCTATGGGTATCGTGTATGTAATCGTTCATTGATCGCTAGGTCATATTGTATGGTATCGTTCATTGAAAAATACGACAGTTACTTTGGTATCGACGGAAAGGTTACATCAAAACAAAATTGAACGTTTTTTTTTTTTTATGTAACAGATCACGTGGATCACTGGTGGTTTATAAGGTGGGCAAATTTTGCTTGTTCATTTATATTTTTTTATTATTTTTAAATCTATAACTTGCAATTTTTTTTAAAATTTTTGCCCAGATTGTACGCATTGACGAAGTGGAGCAATCCATGTCAAGTATAAACTACTTGGAGCTGGCGTGGTTAGACGAGGATCTGGCGTGGAACAGAAGCAGATATGACGACATCTCATTGATAGCACTAGACTATGACGAGTGAGGGAGTTAATACAATGGCATGGCATCGCATGTGTAGCACTAGAATTGGAGGGTATAACATGTGTAGCACTAGAATTGGAGGGTATAACATGTGTAGCACTAGAATTGGAGGCTATAATATGTGTAGCACTAGAATAGGAGGGTATAACATGCGTAGCACTAGAATAGGAGGGTATAACATGTGTAGCACTAGAATTGGAGGGTATAACATGTGTAGCACTAGAATAGGAGGGTATAACATGCGTAGCACTAGAATTGGAGGGTATAACATGTGTAGCACTAGAATAGGAGGGTATAACATGCGTAGCACTAGAATAGGAGGGTATAACATGTGTAGCACTAGAATTGGAGGGTATAACATGTGTAGCACTAGAATAGCAGGGTATAACATGTGTAGCACTATAATAAGAGGGCATAAGACGTGTAACACTAAGAATTCGCATTGGTAGCGAAAACACATTATCCATCTTGTTCTTTGTCTAATTATTAGTCTCTGATGTAAAACGAACTTATTTGTTTCGTATCGATCAATTTGACTTAGCTGTACAATTTTACCATTAATTTATGGATTGAGAACCAAATGAAAACCATGTGACTTGAACAAAGGTATGACACCATATGCAGAGCACGGAGCGCTGCGACACGGTCGGCAATTAAGTTTTCAAAAAGAAACCACGAATGTAAAATTTTAATTATAAATAAAATATTTATGTTGATTAAATTACTTAAAGAAAGTGAGTTGCAATATATCTATCGATAAATTATCCCAATTTAAAATGAAAATGGTTAATAAAGTCATAATAAATTTATTATGAAGACTGTACAAGTATTTATTGAATTTTTAATAATTTTTTTTTTTTAATTGATTTGCAAACAGAATAAGCTACCTGACCATAGTGCCAAAGAAACGAAGCGATTCTAGTATGTTCGGAATCTGTGATAGTGATGTTCTATTATTTTACGGGAATCGCATAAATTTAAATGTGCAAAAAAAAAAAAAATGAAAAAAAAAATAAAATGAAATATCACAACTTTAATTTAAGTAAATATTTAAGTATTATTATTACAAATTACAAATAAATTAAACATAAAAATAAAGAAAAATTTGAAAGCATTTACAGGGAATCGCATAAATTTAAATGTGCAAAAAAAAAAAAAAATGGAAAAAAAAATGAAATGAAATATCACAACTTTCATTTGAGTAAATATTTAAGTATTATTATTACAAATTACAAATAAATTAAACATAACAATAAAGGAACATTTGAAAGCATTTACCCTTGTTCGAAAGTTATGCGAAATATTTAAAACGGTAAACAGAGTTTTGTTGTAAAGTTAAGATTACGTTTTCACAATTTTTAGAGGGGAAAAAAAATGTAGATTAGGGGCATGAATGTTGCTAGCGTAGGCGTAGGCCCAACATTTAACAATTTAAAAACACATGACATCTAATTTATTTCTCTAGCGTAGAAATCAGCCATCAACGAACTCCTTTAGTGACAATAATGATTTAATTAGTGATCATTTAGACTTGGTGATTTAATGTCATGTCTATGGACAACAAATTGTAGATGATGGGACAGGAAAAGGGTTGTCTGGTTTAATGTATAATATATAGTAGAAAAGTACTCAAAATTGTAATTGGTATTCGAAAAAGTAAGTGAAAATGTTCGCACAGTGCATGCCATTGTTACACCGATAACTTCGGATCATATTTTCTAGTTTACAAATAAAGGTATAAGTAAATTGAAATTGAAGTCATTTACACCTATAAACCCTACTATTTTTGCATTAATCCAAACTACCTAGACTTTGCATTCATCTAAACAACTACCTAGACTGTGTATTTATCCACACCATTACCCAGACTATGTATTTATCTACACAATTACATAGCCTATGCATTTATCTACACAATTACATAGCCTAATCATTTATCTACACAATTACATAGCCTATGCATAATTTATCTACACAATTACTTAGACTGTACATTTTACCACTCAATAACCTAAACTGTACATTTATCCACACAATTACCTAGACTAAGCATTTATCCACACAATTGCTGAGACTATCCATTTATCCACACAATTACTCAGACTGTGGCATCCGAATCTGTTCGTGAAAAATTCAGTCAGCAAATATGACGTCACGGCCCAAGATGGCGGTTATCGTCTGCTACTCTCAGACACCGGTCACGTCACGTTGAAGATCGGTATCTTCCTGAAAACTTTGTGCGACCTTGACTTCACTTACTTCCCCTTCGACCTGCAGGTAAGAGCAAACCGGAAATGAATCAAAACCCTTGATTCTGATATGACATGGCGATCAGAGGCATCATGCCATATTATGGCCGCCATCACCCCCCCCCCCTCCACACACTCTCTCTTTTTCCACTGAACTAATTGAACGAATTTGTTTCAGACGTGTGACATTGACTTTGTTTCCGGGAAAGATGACTGCAAGGTGCAGCTGAACACCATCAACACCAGGTACCCGCCGGAACCTGTCGTCGTGAAAGGAGAATGGACCATAGTGGACAGGAATTTAGAGTCAGGAGGTCTTGATAACTTAGGTGACATTGTCTATTATGCAAGGTTCGTCACTGTAAGCAGTTTGATAACGTTTGAATACGATTGTTTGGTGACCTGTATTTCTTTTTGATTTCATACACAATTCACGAAAAGACGCCATGTTAATTTATTTTTAGCTTCGTTTATGACTCTAATCTCCAAACCCCTGCTTCACAGTTGGGCTCAAAAGAAACCTTAAAAAAAATTGTATGTCCATGTCTTTTTCAATTTCCCACCCAAGGGCGAAGGTGAGGCTGAAAAGGAACAGTCTTTTCTACGTCACCTTCATCATCGTCCCCATGGCTGCGTCGTCTCTGATGACGTCATTGGTGTTTCGTGTTCCGCCGGCGTGTGGGCAGAAGGTGTCTTTCCTTGTGACCATCTTTGTGTCCAATGCTGTGTTTTTAGGCTTCATCGCGTGAGTACACAAAAGTACACATTACTTTTAGCATGGGGGAGGAGGTGATGTGGGAGTGGGATGCTAGGGCTGGTGAGAAGAATGTACAGGGGTGATGGGACTGGTGAGAAGAATGTACAGTGGGGGTGGGACTGGTGAGGGGAAGTAGGGTGATGGGGCTGGTGAGAAGAATGTACAGTGGGGTGATGGAACTGGTGAGAAGAATTGTTGGAGTAGGGGGATGTGGCTGGTGAGACGAATTGTTGGAGTAGGGGGATGTGACTGGTGAGAAGAATTGTTGGAGTAGGGGGATGTGGCTGGTGAGAAGAAGAGTGAAAGTGGGTTGATGGGGCTGGTCTTGGGAAGTGTTGTTCATGTAAACTCATCGAAATGTGAAATTGGGGTCAATATCCACTTCAAGTAATTTTAGTTTTACTGTTTTAATAAATATGTGGTCATGTAAATATGGGGTCATGTAAATATGTGGTCATGTAAATATGGGGTCATGTAAATATGGGGTCATGTAAATATGGGGTCATGTAAATATGGGGTCATGTAAATATGGCGTCATGTAAATATGGGGTCATGTTAATATGTGGTCATGTAAATATGTGGTCATGTAAATATGTGGTCATGTAAATATGGGGTCATGTAAATATGGGGGTCATGTAAATATGGGGTCATGTAAATATGGGGTCATGTAAATATGTGGTCATGTAAATATGGGGTCATGTAAATATGGGGTCATGTAAATATGGGGTCATGTAAATATGGGGTCATGTAAATATGGGGTCATGTAAATATGGGGTCATGTAAATATGTGGTCATGTAAATATGGGGTCATGTAAATATGATTAGCAACCCATGTTGGTCTTAACCAATTGTTGTAATCTCGGCTGGTAATACATTTGTTTTAAATGTAACAACTTTTTAATTTGTGTTAAGTCAGCTGGCAACCTGCAGATTAAAGAACAGCAACTGTCTTACTTTGTCAAAATAACCCTATGAATGTATTGGTCACCATCTGAAATTGAAATATAAATACCTATTTTTATGATTCGTACACATTTATACAGGCTGTGTTATCTATCATTTGACTAACTTTACTTCAAACAGAACACTACAGACTCAGGCAGTCTTAAAAGTTATCAACCATGTATTATATTGTTCTATCATTGCCAGGGCGACAGTCCCGCGGAGTGTGAGCGTCATGCCCAGAGTGATGCTCTTTCAGATCTTTGTCCTGCTGCAGAGTTTCCTCGCGCTTGTGGCGTCGCTGTTCGTCATACGACGTCACGAACAGGAAGTTCTCTCGGCCAGTCACAACAAGAACAGCGGCGGTCGTAAAGCGAGGGAAAAACTTGCAGCGGACATCTTCACAAGCGGGAACAGGATCTTCCCGGACAACGCAGTGGCTTCGAAACGCAATGATGCGCGGGAACCGGTGGAGGGCAGCAATCAAAAGTCTGGCTCTGAAAATTTTAAAATTGAGTTGATTGTGAAGGAAAAGGAGAACACAATTCAGGAGAAACCAAAGTTTGACCAGAAGATCCGCCCCGAAATTCGGCCGATGAAATGTTTACGTCACGTGTCGGCCGAACGTTTGGATTTGATTTTCTTCTGGTTGTTTAACGTTGTTTCTTTACCGTTTTACATCGAACTGTTACTGCAACTGAACTAAGTGTCTGAGGCAACAAATGGACAGATGTCTTTGACGACATTTGGGAAAATTTCTTGGATAACATCTGGACAAAGCCCTTGATAACATCCGGGAAAATTTCTTGGACAAAATCTTGGACCTCGTCTTAGACAAAATCCTTGACATTGTCTTGGACAAATTCTGGGATAATTTATTGGACAAAATCTGGGACAATGTCTTTGATGATATCTGAGATCATGTCTTGCACAAGGTCTTGGATAATGTCTTTGATGATATCTGAGATAATGTCTTGCACAAGGTCTGGGATAATGTCTTTGATGATATCTGAGATAATGTCTTGGACAAGGTCTGGGATAATGTCTTTGATGATATCTGAGATAATGTCTTGCACAAAGTCTGGGATAATGTCTTTGATGATATCTGAGATAATGTCTTGCACAAGGTCTGGGATAATGTCTTTGATGATATCTGAGATGTCTTGGAAAAAATTTGGCATGAGGCGGACGGACCCTGGACGGACCCTGGACTATCAGTGCACACTGGAACTGCAAGATTTGTCTTTGTCTATAGACAGCGATGATGAAAATAAAAAAATAAAAAACTTACTTAACAAAAACAAATTTGACGACGTAACACGTGCTTTAAAATCCTTATGCAACATTGAAGTGTTCTATTAGTAGATAGATCTATAAAGTTAACTGAAGTGTTCTATTAGTAGATAGATCTATGAGTTCACTGAAGTGTTCTATTAGTAGATGGATCTATGAGTTACTTGAAGTGTTCTATTAGTAGATAGATCTATGAGTTCACTGAAGTGTTCTATTAGTAGATAGATCTATAAGTTAACTGAAGTGTTCTATTAGTAGATAGATCTATACGTTAACTGAAGTGTTCTTTTAGCAGATAGATCTATGAGTTCACTGAAGTGTTCTATTAGTAGATAGATCTATGGTTTAAATGAAGCCAAAGTTGCCTACATATAGATTTTCTGCATCATATCTCAAAATAATTTTTTATCAATGGATCTTTAAGTTAGCATAAATTGGTTGATGACTTGATAAATGTTACGGTTTGAATGTCTGAGTCCCGAAGTCCAAACAGAAAAAAAATTAGTACGAGTCATAAAACTGTTTTAATTTAAGGTCATTTTAATTGAAATTATGACGGAGTTATCTAACAAAAATCTCAAAGAGAGGTACAGAGGCCAAATGCTAAAACTCTTATTTGATCTTACAATCTTAATCATGAACCCAATCTTCGTTTGTTTGGATTGCTTGTATTAAAAAAAAAACAAGGTCTTTGTTTAATGATCCACCTCTCTGACGACTTAACTACTCCACCACACTCCCATCACTGTTTCCTGAGAATCGCTTGTAGAGAGATAAGCGATTAAATAAAAAATAAAAACCAATTTGATAATTGAAATGCTAGTTCCTTTCTTTATTAAAAAAAAAAAAGAAAGAAAAACATCAACGAATATCGTATCCAATAATCGTTTCATTTACGAAACAATTACGCTGAAAACTAATCCAGAGCACCATCACAGGATTGTTGGGTTCTCTTCTTTTCAATTAAGTCTTCCCATAATGCAATTTGCCTGGTAAACAGACGATAAATTGTAATTCCCTCGGTTTTTTCAAAAGTTTTCTGTCTGCATTTATTCTCATCGACCTTTTTTTTCAGCGGGCTTTGAAAAATTTGATTTTTTTTTTAAAAATATGAAACTTTATCAGGCACGCAATTATTATCAAGTCACAGCATGCTGATAAAAAAACAACAACTCCAGGTAATAAAACATTAATCGCGCAATAATATCTTAAAAACACCTAGCAACCGTGTTATGTTTTTTTTTAAAAAGTTCATATCCCCTATAGTGGCCAATAACCTTTCTCTTAAATTGATTCCATTTTCGTCATCATATCAGAGTGACATTTTGAACAATAGTACAAAACATCTCGGCAGAGTTATTGAACCTGTGCAGCCATGGTTATACAGCAGATATGCCTGGCTAGATCATTTTGGCCGGTCAATGTCCTATTGGATATTTTTGTGTGTTTTTTTTTGTCTTTGCCACCCCCGATGTCAGATTCACTGAGTATTTTCCGTCTTTGTCATTCAGATGTCATATTCAATGACTCTGTTCTGTCTTTGGCATTATGATGTCAAATTCTCAAGTCTGTTCTGTCTTTGTCATTATGATGTCATATTCACTGAATATTTTCTGTCTTTGTCATTATGATGTCATATTCACTGAATATTTTCTGTCTTTGTCATTATGATATCATATTCACCGAGTCTCTCGGTCTTTGTCATTCAAATGCCATAATCAATGTCTCTATTATTGCTTTATAATTGAGATGTGATATATAATAGTCCCTATTATGTCTTTGTTATTTTGAGGTCATATCCTTTGTCTCAATTATCTCTGTGTCCTTTAGATCTTACATTTATTGTGTGAGTATCTCCCCACCCCTTCCCCCAACAAAACACCACACAGCCAAATAACCATCCCATTTTAAATATAGCGGATAATTCTAACATCGCTTTTCATGTAAATTGGGTTGTTTACCCTTGTTTACGTCATTCACCACAGTCTTCACTTGTGCCGGCAAAACATGGCGTTTGTGGATAGCTACTCTAATCCCGACTTCAATGGCGTCGCCAATCTGGCACAAAGCATATCCTCTTAATGAAAAAAAAAAGGGTCACGTGACAAAGTTATACAATCAAGGAATTGTGACCAAAGAACGTTTGCACTTTTGGTACGCATGCGTGGTCTCGTATTTCAGGCTCAGTTTCCAGAATAAATCTGGTTTTCAAAAACGAATGACGTCATTTCATTGTGTAATTGTTCGTTAGTGACTTGTATCGTCGAGTAACCTTAATCGGTGCTAAGGTTCGTTTTGTACTCTCGGACATCAAAGTGCCAGTTTTCTTAGGTGCATCGAAAGAAAACGTATACAGTTCCTGTCCGCGCGATGACATCATTCCATCTTCAGAAATCGTGCTCCTCCAAGCGTCACTCCCTGTTCGTTCTGTGTTTAACGTTGACCGTGGCGTCGCGAAGAGTCCGTGCTGATTTGGACGACCCCATGTCGTCATGGCGGGAGGCGAAGGCGAGGCTCAAGGAAAAAATACTGAGTCACAAGGTGTCCACGACAAAGATAAGTCCGGTAGATGACAACGTGGTCGACTTAAGAATTTTATTTTGGCCAATTCAGGTGAGGAATTTAACTGTCTTTTAGTTTGAAATTTGAGTTTTTGATGCATCTGCCATTTAATGTGCTTCGTGCCAGCGCCATGTTTTTAGAACTTCTTTAGAGGGGGCTGCGCGCCCCCCCCCCCCTTTTTTATCTGTTAACTATTTTCTGGTAGATTACAAGTTGGCCAACTCATTACTACATAGTCAAATACATCTGACTTCCGCTTAATTGGGTTCAATAGGATACTGTTTTCCTCCAACGCGCTGGAGGGGATAACTGGTGTTGGTGTTCCGGCTAATGTGCAAGGGATTTGAACTCAAGGCCATGCGATTATGCATCCGGTGTGTTACGTTCCATTCCCCAGCTGTGGGGCAGTATTTATGCTAGTATGTAACATTTTCGAATGAGAGGCAAGTTGAGAGCATTTGATCATTTTATTGGAAGATAAAAAAACGGCCACATAAAAATGGCTTTTACAGTTAAATCTCAAACTTTCTGGTTTACCAGGTCCTGACCATTGATGAACTGCAGCAGTCCGTCACTACGGTCAGTTACGTGGAGCTGAGTTGGAGGGACAAGGTCCTGGCCTGGGACAAAATGGATTATGAGAATATCTCGGTCTTAAGCCTGGACTACCAAGAGTGAGTGAGAGCACCAGTAATTACATAAGGGTACCCGGCATAAGCTCAAAGTACCGGCCATTACATCAGGTTAGGGTTCATTACATGAGTTTACAGTTCAATATATGAGGTACTGGTCAATATGTCAGGTATTTGTCACCGCAGGAGAGTAGCGGTCATTTTTATGAAGTTACGGTAAACATTTGATGGTATATGTCATGATATAAATTATCTCAAAGTTATCGCCATGGAGAATGTCTTCGGCACGAGAATCATTTTGTATTCTTAATTTATTTTATTTTTTTGGTTTAGAAATATCCCTTAAGAAGGCGAATACACGTTTATAAAATATCTATTCATAAACAAATTCTTGATCTTTAATATAATGGCGACGAATATCCAAATTATAATATTAATACAAAACATTTTTTTTAATTGCAACAAAAATAAAACAATGACAACACCTATAATAAAAATTATATTAACAATTAAAATAATAATAATTTAACTACTGCTAATATAAATAACTAGGAACAATAGTACTAAATACAGCAGTGGCGTAACTACGGTGGATGATGCCCGGTGAGAGATGAGCGTTTTGCAGCCCGCTTCCACGAAATAACAATCTGATCAAGAATCTCCCCTCAACATCGAATCCAAATACAAAAATTAAACTGCCTGGGTTTGGGGGTCAAGGGGGGAAATTGACCGATCCCTAAGAAATCCCATTCCTACGCCACTGATCTGAACGAAGACAATCGAACATTCATTGGTTCGCTGGATTACCCTTTTTTTTTTTGAAGCATCTAAATCAGTGGTTCCGCCGCGACTAAAGTGTTCCATGTTGTTTTACCCGAATCAATGAAGTGATCATCGTTTGATGCTTCATCACTGTAGAGTTTTTACGAGGGTTTTAGACGACCCCTGTGAAAGGGTCGTTCGATCCCCATTAGGCGTCGTGACTAACAGGTAGAGAACCGCTGGCCTAAAGAGATGCTCCTGAAAGTACCCAACGCAGACTGCGTGTTTTGAATATCAAGGCAACGACTCGTACGCCATTGTTATCAGCTAAAAAATGGTTGGTTTTGGGGTACCCCCCCATTCCTACGCCCCTGTTCAATTTTTATACATTTTTACATCTTTCTACTATAAATGGTCACTCCTCTTTTCCTTCATTACATAATGGCGCAAGAATAAACTAAGTAAAGTCATCTAACGTCTGTTTCCTCCCAGCTTGTGGCACCCCAACATGGTCATCTCAAACTCCGCCCACGATGAAGACAAATTGCTGCAAGGGAACGAGCGACTCCTGTTGGACGACACTGGGCGCGTGCTCATGACCTTGCCATTATTCTCAAGGACAAGTTGTAACCTGGATTTCACCAACTATCCCTTTGACAAACAGGTGATTTTTTCATATGAATAGCATGGGACTTTTTTATGACAAACACGAGACATAATGTTTTTCAACGTTTTTTAACTGTTGACTTTAAAAAAGATGACTTTTTGTCCACCTTCTTATCTTTGTTAGTTGGTCAAATTGATGACTTTAGATTTGACCAACAGACGACGTTGTCATTGATCGACTGGCTACTACGCAATTGATATAAATCTGATTTGAACGGTATTAGCTGTCTCTGCTCTAAATTGTCGTTTCTATACTCGTGTAGTGATACGTCTCCCTAGACATGACTCACTGTACCCACCACAACTATTGCTTTACCCACACACAACTATCACAGTACTCACACACAACTATCACAACACCCACACACAACAATCACAGTACCCACACAAAACTATCGCTGTTACCCATACGCAACTAATCCTAGAACAATAATCCCCCGGCCTTGTGGATTTCGTCCGGCGAAGTTTTCACCATCGTCACATTGTGACGGACGGATGCCAGCAAAAAAAGATATATTATTATTTTTTTTAAATTTTGAATGTTGTACTAGAATGGCGATTGTTCACCTTATTACATTTGTTTTTTCTAGTGAATTCGTTCTCGTACGTCAGTTTTGAATTCCGATGAAATACGGAACCAGTGGAACCGTAGCCTAAGTCTTTTTTTGTTTTTGTTCTTTGGGATCTGATGTCTTCTTTATTGAACAAAGTCTCTATCTGCAGGAATGTGACGTCATTGTGTTCCCATTATTTGACGAGTGCCAGTTTACCATGACCACAGATAATGTCTCGAAATTAACTGACCCTTTCAAGATCAACGGGGAGTGGTCGATAGAGGCCAGATCGGCGGACACAGAGATGTACACGTGGGGTCAAAAGAGCGTCCCCATCTTGAGGTAGATCTGTCACGTGATTGTGGTGTAGGTCGTGTGGATTTGCTTGTAGGGAATATAATTGTGGTGAGCCACTTGGTGCATAAAAATGTACCACACGTATTTAACGGAAGAGTGGGCAGTGTTAAACCAGGTATGGGCAACCTTCGGCCCGTGGGCCCCATGGGGCCCGCTGAAATGTTTAATGCGGCCAGAAAGAACTTTCGAGAATTTAATTAATATTTTCGTGACATGTACACATTCTCAAAAGTTTCATATGAAAAGCAATTGAAACTGATAATTATTTGTAAAGTTTCAAAAACTAATAATAGAAATATTCCAAACAAATGAGAACGAAAAACGGTAATGTTTATTTGCGGCCCGCTGCGCCACAAGGTTGCCCACCCCTGAGCTAAAAGCAGATGGATGAAGGAGGGAAGATGACGGCAAACGAACGATTGGTTTGATAGATAGTAGGGAAGGTGGTAGGTGAATGACGAACGGTTACCTGCTGTTATCATTTCACCTGACATTTTTTCATTGTGCTCCTTGAGAAATGCCCCTTAGACATTGGAAAGACGCCACTCTCTCAAAGATGTGGTTTTTGATGTTGATGTTGTCATCAGCGTGGTTGGTTCATGACATGTGAATGTTGTAATTTACAAACGGTATAGGTCAACCCTATAACACTGGCATGAGTCAGAGTCTTGTACCGTAAAACTGGCCCTGGTAAAATCACTGCTTGCGGTCCCGTACAACTGGCCTTGGTCAAATCACTGCTTGCGTTCATGTACAACTGGCCTTGGTCAAATCACTGCGTGCGGTCCTGTACAACTGGCCTTCGTCAAATCACTGCTTGCGTTCCTGTACAACTGGCCTTCGTCAAATCACTGCTTGCGGTCCTGTACAACTGGCCTTGGTCAAATCACTGCTTGCGTTCCTGTACAACTGACCCTGGTCAAATCACTGCTTGCTGTCCTGTGCAATTGGCCTTGGTGAAATTAATGCTTGCGGTACCGTATGGTGACATTGGTCAGCTCACATCTCCCTCCTGTAAGCTTAAGGTTTTTCACCCCATTAAGACTAAAATACGTTACAAAATTACAATTGTTTTGGGCGCTCTTCATCCCGGTAGGGTTAAAATGCTGTACAAAGAAATTACAATTGTTTGGGCTCTCTTCATCCCGGTAGGGTTAAAATGCTGTACAAAGAAATTACAATTGTTTTGGGCGCTCTTCATCCCGGTAGGGTTAAAATGCTGTACAAAGAAATTACAATTGTTTGGGCCCTCTTCATCCCGGTAGGGTTAAAATGCTGTACAAAGAAATTACAATTGTTTGGGCGCTCTTCATCCCGGTAGGGTTAAAATGCTGTACAAAGAAATTACAATTGTTTGGGCGCTCTTCATCCCGGTAGGGTTAAAATGCTGTACAAAGAAATTACAATTGTTTGGGCGCTCTTCATCCCGGTAGGGTTAAAATGCTGTACAAAGAAATTACAATTGTTTGGGCGCTCTTCATCCCGGTAGGGTTAAAATGCTGTACAAAGAAATTACAATTGTTTGGGCGCTCTTCATCCCGGTAGGGTTAAAATGCTGTACAAAGAAATTACAATTGTTTGGGCGCTCTTCATCCCGGTAGGGTTAAAATGCTGTACAAAGAAATTACAATTGTTTGGGCGCTCTTCATCCCGGTAGGGTTAAAATGCTGTACAAAGAAATTACAATTGTTTGGGCGCTCTTCATCCCGGTAGGGTTAAAATGCTGTACAAAGAAATTACAATTGTTTGGGCGCTCTTCATCCCGGTAGGGTTAAAATGCTGTACAAAGAAATTACAATTGTTTGGGCGCTCTTCATCCCGGTAGGGTTAAAATGCTGTACAAAGAAATTACAATTGTTTGGGCGCTCTTCATCCCGGTAGGGTTAAAATGCTGTACAAAGAAATTACAATTGTTTGGGCGCTCTTCATCCCGGTAGGGTTAAAATGCTGTACAAAGAAATTACAATTGTTTGGGCGCTCTTCATCCCGGTAGGGTTAAAATGCTGTACAAAGAAATTACAATTGTTTGGGCGCTCTTCATCCCGGTAGGGTTAAAATGCTGTACAAAGAAATTACAATTGTTTGGGCTCTCTTCATCCCGGTAGGGTTAAAATGCTGTACAAAGAAATTACAATTGTTTGGGCGCTCTTCATCCCGGAAGGGTTAAAATGCTGTACAAAGAAATTACAATTGTTTGGGCGCTCTTCATCCCGGTAGGGTTAAAATGCTCCTGAGGAGGAGCGTGCTGTTCTACATCATCACGATAATGATCCCCATGTCCGTGACGTCACTGATGACGTCCCTTGTGTTCTGGATCCCACCGTCGTCAGGAGAGAAGGTCACGTTCCTGGTCACCATCTACGTCTCTACAGCTGTCTTCATCAACTTCTTTTCGTAAGTATCTCCGTAGTAAGGCATCCCGAGACCCTAATCTATGGTAGACAATTTGGGGGGGAGGGGTGAAAACAGTATGATAATATCATGGCCGGAATAACTCTTGGGAACGGTACCAAATAATACAGAAAAAAAAAATTTAATAAGGGGTACACAATCAGTATTGGTCAGAGCAGAGGAAAACGTGATCAGGTCAATGGAAATTCCATTGTGGTTACACTCTTACCTTCACCAGTGAATTCGAAAGGAAAAGTGACCACATAACTTTAAACAAATACATATGCTAATAACTTTAGGTGTTTGTGCATGATTTTTTATTTAAGCCCCATGCTAGTAGTGTCATATCTGACCGAGTTGTGTATTGATTGTATCATATCTGACTTGTGTCGAATGATTGTATCATATCTGACTGGTGTCTAATATTTGTATCATATCTGACTGGTGTCTAATATTTGTATCATATCTGACTGGTGTCTAATGATTGTATCATATCTGACTGGTGTCTAATGATTGTATCATATCTGACCGTGATGTCTAATGATTGTATCATATCTGACTGGTGTCTAATGATTGTATACTATCTGACTGGTGTCTAATGATTGGATCATATTTGACCGTGGTGCCTAATGATTGTATCATATCTGACTGGTGTCTAATGATTGTATCATATCTGACTGTGGTGCCTAATGATTGTATCATATCTGACTGGTGTCTAATGAGTGTCTCATTCTCACAGAGATACGATGCCACGAAGCATGTCGGACCTACCACGGATCACCATCTTTCTCATCACCGTCATGCTTCAATGCTTCTTCGCTCTAATGGCCACCCTGTTCGTCATCAGACGATACGAGCAAGAAGTTCTGGAAGGTTCTCGAGACTCACGTGACGTCGATGGAAGACAAATGAAAGATGGCGCGTCCAGAAAACGAGAAGAAATGGGCGAGCTGAGCAGTAAAGAAATTGGCGCCCTGAACATTACAGAAATTGGCGCCCTGAGCAGTACGGAAATCGGTGAACCTTTTGTAGAGTACAAAAGCCCCCAGAAAGAGGGGCTGGGGAGCAAGGGGTTTGGCCCTTTTTTCGGGGAATCTGCTTTAGGGAATCATAATTTTCCCGCCACAAAAATGAAGCATGGCGAGCTAGAAGATAACTTTTCTTGTGCTAAGACCAGCCCAAGAAAGGTCAAATGCCAACTCAAAGCCGAACAATGGGATTTAATTTTTTTCGTCCTATATCACGTGGCTACCGTCCCTTGTTTCATCAGCATGTTGATACCGCTGTTCAAGTAGGCCAGTCTCTTGTGGCTACCATCACCTTAATGACCCCTTAGTAGGTCGACACCAACTGTGATAGATGCACAGAACGTATCACTAGCTCGTTTTTTGTGTTGTTTATGCTGTCGTCTGCTTGTTCTTGAATGGATTGACTAACAACCAGCTTGCCGTGTGCCAATGAACTATTGGCTGCTTGCGATATCCCACACTAAAACTGGATGTGAGGGTAGATGGGACGGTACATCAAAACTAGAATCAAACAGCAGAAACAATATTTTTTTTTATTACTTTAAAATTAAAAAAATAAAATAAAAAAATATTTAAGAATTAAAATTATAATGTACTTTGTTGAGATCTCTAAAAAAAAATAAAAGTTTTAAAAAATTTATTTCTGTTATCTGTTTTCATTATTTGACCGTCTGCTGAAGAAGTCGTCTGGCCGAAACGTTCGTTTAATTGTGTTGTCTTTTATTCAAGCATGAGCATATCTTTGATTAAATATTTATTTTCCCTAGGTGGTTGGTGTTTATTATATCCGTCAATTTCCATCTGATCTCAAGCGGTGCAGCAACACTGATTTATGTTTTATCAATTCGTCATTGAGCCGGACCAGCGCTTCTTCTCTGTCTAGACTCAATAAATCCTGCTCGCCATTCATAAATCAAGTCTTCTTTGTCCATGGCATCCATTAACTTCAGTGCAATAGGACTGTCAGCTTTCGTAACAGTGTTTAAAAACAGTTTAGGGAACGAGAAGGGGTTCCAGGCCTGCTTGTTATCGATTCATAGCCATGAGAGTGGACAGAGTGGTTAGCTGGGTTCCGCCCTTGGGGTCTATGCTTTGCCTCGCCTGAACCCGTCGCCAAAGATGCCCTTCGCCTGTGGTGTATACACCAGAATCATAAGATTCCGTTGCGCTCAAGACCTACTAAATCTCTCTCACCGCAAAGAGGTCGAGATTCCTTTAGACAGAGCACAGACAAAAACACGGAACAAACAAGAAGTCAGTGACAAAATTATACAATACCTGGTTGAACAATTTCCATGCCGCTCTTGAAAACATGGGGCGGCTCATTGATCCAACATTCATGGGGGTTCCAGTGTTCCTAAAAACTAATAGAGAAACTGGACGCCGCCCTTGCATTAAAAATTCAATCATGGGGTGGGTCGGGGGTGGGTCGGGGGAGGGGGGCATACGATATGTTCAGGACATATATGACGCTGACGTAACAGTAAATAAGTGTATTTAAAATAAAGGGAACGTTTTTTTTATTACAAAAAAAACAACTCACACCTTGTAGATTTGTATTCTAAAAATGAGTTTTAACAATTAAGTCTATTAATCATAAAAGCTGTATGAATTTAGTTGATGAATTTTGAATAGATTTTGGTGTTATGATTTAGTCTGTAAATCCTGCATGCAAAATATGTATGCTAGGAATGATTCCGCTAAACATTGTGGGGGTAAATCAAGTTTTAAAACTATAGCGCAAGTTAAAAATCGGTCGAAATCATCTTTATATTTAAACTAAAGTTGTCAGGATACAGGCATTCAGAGCTGATTTCATAGATTTAAAAATTGTGGTTACATTTGATCAAAACGATAGCTATTCACAAAGATACTTTCTTATCACTTATGAAATGAAGAAAACTTTCATAATATTTTGTAGCTTTAAGTTTACCCCGATGTGCTTCTTAAGTTTAATCTGATATCCACGTTATTCGCGTGAGACTGTTGCGACATAAAAGTTCTTTCTCATAGACTGCTAAGCGAGGGTCAGGGGAGGGAACGGAGACCCATCTCCAATAATTTTTTTTGTGTGCATAATTTGAAAGTCAGGGATGTATTTTGACACATATCTGAATTAAACCAGGGAGCAATAGAAGAACATCTAATGGAGATTTAGGTTCTCTTTACCTAGTTTTGTTAATATAAAGTATTAATTATAATTTTTTTTTGATCAGTCGGAAGAAGAGACCGGTACACCTAAATGTTGCGTACCTTTTTGGGATACTAGCCGAGACACCGGCTTCGATCAAAGATAGATACTGCGTCATCTGGCAACATAAGAACCTTCGAGGGCGGTCTGGGAAAATCGCCATCCAGGGCCATATGCCTTTTGTAAGAGCAGACACTTGTCGTAATGGGCGTTCAGTAGCAGCGCCGTACGTCCTCTCGCACCGTATCACTAATGCTTTGCAAGTTGCGTCTCCGTGAATTCCTCACAGAGCACAAAGAACGCGTCATCTCATTAAACCTTTTCACATCCCAAACACTTTCCTTGGACTACCCGGATCTCTTGATCCAGTCATTAACTTTGGCCCCGAATGCGTTTGTGCCACCCTTCACAATCTCAGGAACACATTTCCCCACCACGGCCACCATAGAATAGAGCACCGGGACACTGTTATATAACGTTATCAATAATACCCGAGGTGATATTGTTCAAACAACAATGACTGATTTGAACATCGACATCCACAATAATAAATACGTTTCACAAACCATGCAGATACTTGAAATTCTATAACACGAATTTTAGTAACTATTAAACCCTCTGCATAACATAATCTTCTTTTACTTTCACTTGATAATTTTATCAACAAAATCTTGATACAATGTCAGCGGTCTCTGTTCACTCCACCATTCTTCGTACAATCTTTCCAATCCTCACTCTGATTGGTCAGTTCCTCCCAAGTCCCAACATTCTCTATATTATACCAGAAATATTAACAAAATTAATTGTCTCCAATTAGTCGTTCAAATATTCATACCTGTGACAACATCTGTGGTTCAAATATTCATATCTGTGACAACATCTGTGGTTCAAATCTTCATATCTGTGACAACATCTGTGGTTCAAATATTCATATCTGTGACAACATCTGTGGTTCAAATATTCATATCTGTGACAACATCTGTGGTTCAAATATTCATATCTGTGACAACATCTGTGGTTCAAATATTTATATCTGTGACAACATCTATGGTTCAAATATTCATATCTGTGACAACATCTGTGGTTCAAATATTCATATCTGTGAAACATATGTGGTTCAAATATTCATATCTGTGACAACATCTATAGAAAAGCATGTCGCGATTCCTTCATAATTACCGACATCTCACCAGTTATGACAAACAACATCACATCAATGCAATAAGAATTTTTTTAAATAATGTTTCGCCAAGTATGAAAATAATCATTATTTTTTAAAAATTGAATAAAGAAATAAAATCATTTGTGGTACAGCCCTCGTCTACAATATTTAACGCGGTGGACCGCATGTTGGCCACAAGATGCCCAACCCGGCTTAAAACTTTAAACAAGTGTTAATTCCTTTTATACTGCCAGCCCCTCCCCCCCCCCCGCACACACTATTTAATTCCATCCTCACCTCTGAGCCTTTAATTTCCTCATTTAGCTATAATTTGTTTTCCTCATAAGTGTCCTCCCGTGGTGTTCCTTGGTCTGGCTTGTTGGCCTGAGGAAATCATTTTCAACAAGAGAAGGCAATAACAGTATGAACTGTCTTTTTAAGATTTTACAGATACCAAGCATAGGCGTCACCTTCGGCGGTATTTACTCTCAGGTGGCGTCAAGTTGGGAACATAAATTACAACTCAACACAATGTTCTCATGTAATGAGCGAAGCTAGCTTACACATAACATTCAACACAATGTCCTCATATAATGAGCAAAGCTATCTTACACATAACATTCAACACACCTTTCTCATGTAATGAGCGAAGCTATCTTACACACAACACTCAACACAATGTTCTCATATCATGAGCAAAGCCATCTTACACATAACACACAACGCCATTGTCTCATGCAATATAGCGAAGCTATCTTGCATATAACACACAACATAATTTTCAACTGGAATGTAAAGTAGAATTGATATCGATGGCATAACAATGAGGAAAAGCCGATGACTTCTTAAATCATTAAAAAAATTATAACAATTAAAACTAGAAATGCTATTGGTTGCCATTGAATCAGTTTTAAGTTTTTCACCAACTTCATTAAGAAAAATACAAATGATTTTATTTAAACTTAGCTAAACTTTTTATGGCCAATACTGTGTCTCTCTGTGGGAAAAGATCATTTCAAGTTCTAGCCGAGTTCAAAACTTTCTAAACTGTTGAGATTCTACTAAAAAATAATGTTTTAACGTCTTGTTCTTCTATTTTATTTCTTTTATATCGGATACTTTGTCCTTTTGATTTCTGCCTATAATTTTAAAGATCGTTTATAGATCTGGCCAAGCCATTTGTCTTTGAAAGTAGGGAGAAATCTATTGAGTGTGCTGAATACCATGGGTTGTCCCCCCCTTGACGGCTCACAATCCTAAAGTGATTTCACACCAACATGCACATCACAGTCTTCTTGAAGTGGGGCGGTCTCTGAGTTTGTTACCAGTCAGAGAGGATGAAACAAGCCTGAGTGATCGCACCAAAGATCGTTTCCCTTTTCTTCTCCATGCAAATAAAACATTCGCTTATGTAATATACATTTTGTTCGAAATGTATGACGTATAGCGTCAGGTGATGCCGTTCAGTGTGCTGCATGAGACTGTCTCATCTTGGAAAATCCATATTATGAAACTGTCTTATTTTGTGGAAATCCATATTATAAAATTGTCAGGACTTTGGAAATCCATATTATGAAACTGGCTCATATTGGGAAATCCATATTATGAAACTGGCTCATATTGGGAAATCCATTTATAAAATTGTCAGGTCTTGGGAAATCCATATTATAAAACTGGCTTATATTGGGAAATCCATATTATGAAACTGGCTCATATTGGGAAATCGACATTATGAAACTGACTCATATTGGGAAATCCATAGTATGAAACTGGCTCATATTTGGAGTGCATTTTATGAAACTGCCTCGTCTTGGGAAAACCCAAATTTAATATTTAAAATTGTGAAGATTTGTCTAAATACTCTAAATTTATAACTTTTCCCTTAAGAAAACAATCCCTTCAGATGTTTCTTTAAATAGCAGAGAATTTCAAATTGTAAGAAACGCCCATGTTGAAAGTTCTGTTGTACCTCAACATTTCCTTTTGGGGGCATAAAGGGGAGATAACACATTTTGCGCAACTTATGTAAACGGGTAAGAGTAAATGAGGAAGTAACCGTTTAGGCCAACACAAATCAAGGAAAAGCTAACTCATATCTAGCGTTACTTTCAATGACTTTCAATGTTAGACATCTATAAAAGGGTTTCTCACCACAATTGTGTACCT